GATTTGGTGAGGGTGGAGAAAGCATTCATTTGTGTGTAAGAGCACTTCTTGATATAATTTTTAAAGTGTTGGTGGGTGGGGTTTGGATGTAGCATAGTTGTGATGGTCTCCATGATTGAGTACTCTGGCTCACATGTTCTTCAAAGCATTGGAACTTGATACCAGGAATAATCAAGTTACAAAACCTTTGGAGTACCTAGATTCTCATGATTTTCTTTTCTTTATCTCTCAATTTCAGTTTATTTTTTTCAAGGCATGGTGTATATACTGCAAAATATATCTCTTTGCCATTGACACCAGTGTCTCAACAAATGCTCCCAGGGCAAGCACAGCAAGGACTTGTATTACGTTGCGCCTTTTACTGTAATAAAACATTTCAAGGTGCTTCACAGGAGCATATTAAACAAAGTATGACACCAAGCTACATAGGAGATATTAGGTCAGACAACCAATAGCTTGGCCAAAGAACTAGGTTCTAAGATGTCTTAAATAATTGGAAGAAGGGAATTTCAGCACTTTGGTCATAGGCAACTGAAGGCATGGCTACCAATGGTGGAGCATTTGTAATTGGAGATGTACATGAGGCTAGGTTAGTCAGTGCAGATATGAGGGTTGTGGAATTGAGGAGATTGGAGATAGTGGCGCAAGGCCATAGACGAGTTTCAAAACCAGGATATGATTTTTTAAAAATCAAGGGACCTTGTTTGACTGAGCCAGTGTAAGTCAGAGAGCATGGGATGATAGGGGAATGAGACTTTGTGCAAGTTAAGATACAAGCAGCAGAGATTTGGTCGATATTGAGTTTATGGAGGGTAGAATTGTAGGAGATCAGCCAGATATGCTTTAGATAGTCCATTCCAGAGGTAGCCAAGGCATGGACAGGCTTTCAGCAGCTGATGAGCTAAGACATAAAGTCAGGCAAAGTAAGGATGCCTCTTTCTACCTCTGTAAGTGATGGTGCAGATATGAGATTAGAAGCTCTTCTTAGCATCAAATGTAACATCAAGGTTGCAAATGGTGGTTTAATTGCTGGCTGTTGCCAAGGAGAGGGATGGAGTTGGTAGCAAGTGAATAGAGTTTGGAGAGGGAAATGAAATGGTGACTTCAATCTTGCCAACATTTAATTGGAGGAAACTTCTGCTCATCCAGTATTGCACAGGTTAGATGGTAAAGGTCCCTCTATGATATCCTTGTCAAATGCTCCCAGGACAGGTACAACTCTGAATTAGAGTAAAGCTGCTCTTTGTTTTTATTGATCATGTGAAATAAAACAGCTGAAGAAACATACTCACCAGTTGACCATTTTGATTTATAATGTCTCAATTCATGGGTGAAAAATGGGCACTGGGTTAGATGCCAGAGAGACCGCTCACAGCTGCTATAGAACTGAGTAATATCTAATCAAATATAGGATGGAAAAAAGAAACATTGCGAAGATTTATTGTAACATGTGCATACTCCCTAGAGTTAAAGAGACTGACCATGCACATGCTAAATAAATATAGATACAGAGCTGAGCAATAGCCTCATCAGTAGCTAGATGATGTTCTTTAGAAGTGCCTTTTAAATTTAGTCATTGGACACTCATCAACAATGACTCCCATTTTTGGTCTGTACCATAACTGCAGCATGGATAATCTTGGCAATCCCAATGAAGGGTGGCTACACAAAAGGCTTTGGCCACTCTGGAATCAGTTTTAAAGGGCCCACTGATGTTGTGGAAAATCGAAGCAGGTGGCTATGTTGTCTGGTCTCCAATGAGAGAGTGGTTTCTGGTGGATATTTTCTCCAGCTAAACTTTCTGCCATAGGTTCTCATCTATTACTCCTTGGTGCAGTGGGTTTAACCGTATAGAATGGTGTGAGGGAAGGAATACTATTGGTGAGTAGGGCAGACTTGGGTTAGCATAGTCTTCTCCAGTATACTTGTTTCAATCACCCTTCTGATCTGGGGAGGTGGCAATTTTATTTAGGATTCTGTATGCAATATTCTAAACGTGGCCTCACCAATATCCTGTACAGCCGCAATGTGACGTCCCAATTCCTATACTCCATGCACTGACCAATGAAGGCAAGCATGCAAAACACTGCCTTCACACCCTGTCTAACTGTGACTCCACTTTCAAGGAACTTTGCACCTGTATCCCAGGTCCCTGTTGGGCAACACTCCCCAGGTTCCTACCATTAAGTGTATAAGTCCTGCTCTGGTTTGACTTACCAAAATGCAACACCTCACATTCATCTAAATTTAACTCCATCTGCCACTCCTTGGCCATCAGCCCATCTGATGAAGGTCCTGTTGTACTCTGAGATAACCTTTTTCACTGTCCACTATGCCACCAATTTTGGTGTCATCTGCAAACTTACTAACCATGCCTTCTATATTAACAGCTAAGTCATTTATATAAAATGATGAAAATCAGTGGACCCAGCACCGAGCTTTGTTGCACACTGCTGGTCACAGGTCTCCAGTCTGTAAAGTAACCCCCACCACCACACCATCTCCTACTTTCAAGCTAGTTTTGTATTCAAATTCTCTCTTAAGTCAGTGAGACATGATATCCCACACACAAAGCCAAATCCCTAATCAGTCTTTCTCTTTCCAAATGCATGTAAATCCTGTCCCTCGCAATCCCCTCCAACAACTTAGCAACCACTGATGTAAAGCTCACCGGTCTATAGTTCTCTAGCTTTTCCTTACCACCTTTCTTAAATAATGGCATTATGCTAGCCAACTTCCAGTCTTCTGGCATCTCACCCGTGGCTGTCGATGATACAATTATCTCAGCAAGGGGCCCAACAATCTCTTCCCTAGCTTTGCACAGAATTCTGGTAAACACTTGATCAAGTCCCAGGGATTTATCTACCCTTATGCATTTTAAGACCTCCAGCACCACCTCTTCTGTAACCCTTTTCAAGACATCGCTATTTACTTCCCAAGTCCCCGAGCTTCCAAGTCCTTCCCTTCTACAGAAAGGATGTTATTAAACTTGAGAGGGTGCAGAAATGATTTACAAGGATGTTGCTGGGACTGTTGGGTTTCAGCTCTGGGAGAAGCTGTATAGGCTGTGGCTATTTTCCCTCAGGCTTTGGAAGCTGAGGGGTGACTATAAAGAGGCTTATCAAATCATGAGGGGCATGGATAGGGTGAATAGCCAAGGTCCCTTTCCTAGGGTAGGGGAGTCTAAACTAGAGGGCATAGGTTTAGGTGAGAGAGGCAAGATTTAAAAAGGACCTGAGGGGTAACTTTTTCATGCAGAGGATGGAACAAGCTGCCAGAGGAAGTGGTGTAGCTGGGTACAATTAGGACATTTAAAAACATCTGGATGGGTAAATTAATAGGAAGGCTTTAGAGGGATATGGGCCAAATGCTGACAAATGGGACTAGGTAAGACTGGGGATGTCTGGTTGGCATAAACAAGTTGGACTGAAGGGCCTGTTTCCATGCTGTATGACTCTATGACTGGAACCTGGAGGTGATTTAATCTTTAATCCTTCTAAGTGTTTGTCGTAAAGGCACCATTCCCACAACATGCAGAACGAACGTGGTTTACAAAATACCGTGCAACGACTGCCACAAACATTACATCAGACAGACAGGAAGGAAACTCACTATCAGAATACATCAGCTAGCAGCAAAACGTCATGACAAACTCTCCTTAATATCGGTACATTCAGACAATGAAGGCCATCAATTTAACTGGGACAACGTAACAATAGTAGCCCAAGCCAAACATAGACACGTACAGGAATTCCACAAGGCATGGTTCTCCACCCATACTTCAATCAACAAACATATAGAATTGGATCCCATATACAAGCCCATACAGATCAAAATCAGAAATGACAGTACTCACCATAACGGACCAGACAGTACAAATTCCAAGTGGAGTAGAATAACATTGCTTCATCAGAGCTTCCACTGATGATGTCACCTAGCATGGTGATGAAATGTCTGAACAAAAACAAGCCAGCTCAGTGAGCAAGTCAACAACCTTATCCATGACCCGAGCTACAGATCTTTGCCAAAACTTTAAAGGATGAACTGAATTGAGACTAAAACTCCTGGAGTGGCTCATTTGCCTTATTTCTTCCTTATTTCTTCCAGGTCCCAATCTTGTCACCCATCTGCACCTTGAATTGACTGTCCCAGAGCAGCGGTTCAGTGGCATCAGTAACCTAAAGAAGCGGAACTTGGTAGTTTGGAGAAATAGACCATGTGTCAG